CCCCTGTACTGCTGTAAGGATGCTGTGTGGAGAACCCTAAAATTGGGGAGATGCTCCCTCTGGCTCCTGGCATCTCTCTTCTGTTCTAGACAGCATCTCTTTTCTGCTGCTGCCACTGACATCATCTTTTGTAGCTGGAGAGTTTTCTCTCCGGGTCCCGCCAAACCCCAGCCGTCCGACAGCCCACTTATAAAATAAACACACAGACGCTTTTATTATTTAAACTGTTTGGCCTAATGGCTCAGGCTTCTAGCTATCTAGTTCTTACATCTTAAATTAATCCATTTCTATAAATCTATACCTTGCCACGTGGCTCGTGGCTTACCGGCGTCTTCACATGCTGCTTGTCATGGTGGTGGCTGGCAGTGTCTCCCTCACTCAACCTTCTACTTCCCAGAATTCTCCTCTCTCCTTGTCCCGCCTACTTTCTGCCTGGCCACTGGCCAATCAGTGTTGTTTTATTTATTGACCAATCAGAGTAATTTGACATACAGACCATCCCACAGCAATCTTTAGTGGCTGTGTGGGAACTCCTAGGAAGCACTGTTAGTGAGTTTTTCTGGGTTGCTACTTATCTGCTTAGTGTCACTCTTCTGGCTTGTGGAAGTTGGTGTTTTAATAAAAGTGATGCTAAAAATAAATAGTCAGGGATGTGGGGGTGGGTGGGTGGGATGACTCAGTGGAATAAATGCTTGTTGCATGTGCATGAGGACCTTAGTTTGAATCCCAGCACACATGTGAAAGGATGGGGCAGTCCTTTGGCTCTTGCAGGGAGTGGAGACAGGAGCAGCCCCAGTGCTGGCTGAGCATCCAGTCTACACGAAACAGTGAGTTCCAGGTGCAGTGAGAAATGTCTCAAAAAGTACGATGGAGAACAACAGAGGAGGACAATGGATGTTAAACTCTGTCTTTCCATGCAACATACATGCATACCACACACACACACACACACACACACCCCCCACAATGCTGGCCATGGTAACACCCGCCTATAATTCCAATATTTGGGATATTAAGGCAAGAGGACCACACATTTGAGACCAACTTGGGCTTCATAGAGAACAACAAACAAACAAACAAACAAACAAGATAAGACTAACAAAGCCAGACAAACAGACTGTCCTTGTGCTTCAACAAGGACTCTGTACTGCCTAATTTGTGCCTAGGTTTATAACTGGCAGTACAGACCTGGGCCCAGAAATGCCTCAAAGATTGACAAGGACCAGATCAAGACTGCATCAGGCAGCTGCATGTGCTCACCTACTCTGATGGTTCCTTTCTGCAAATGCCTGCTGTGACTGACTCCCCTTTGCCTAAAGGATAAGGATGCAGTCCTGAGGGTGGCTGACCCCAGCCTCTGCAGTTTGGTCATCTCTCAACATCATTCCCCAGAACGGGGCATCCTATGGGCTCCCCTTCCAACAGGTGCCTGCATGCCACCTGTTCCCAAGCCTTTGACTTCCATCAATACCTCTTCTCAGAAGACCTTGACCTCTCTGGGTACAAACCCAGCCCACCTTAGACAGTTAGAACAATGCCTCTTTACCATCTTGTGGATTGAGTTTCTGGATGCCTTGTCTTCCCGCCACCTTGGTGGAAATAAAGTCTCCCTTCCTTGATTCTTATTGCAATTCACCTCCATCTTCATACATGTTTATGTACCAGCTCATCCTGGGGTCTACTAGGAAGCAACGTCTACGTGTTGTTTATCTTTAAATACCCCCTGTGACGATTTGAATGAGATGTCCCCCATATTATCGGACATTTAAATACTTGGTCCCAGCTGGGGGTGCTGTTTGAGGATGCTTAGGAAGCCTGGCCTTGCCGGAGAAAGTATGTCACTAGAGGAAGATTTTGAGAGCTTGAAGACTTGCTCCATTTGGAGTTGACGTGTGGTTCTAAATGTGAGCTCTCGGCTGCTGCTCCGGTCACCATGCCTGCCTGCTGCCATGCTTCCCACTGTGGGGGATGAGCTCTTGTTCTTCTGGAATGGGCTTTCTGTATGCTAGACAAATATCTACCAATTGAGCTACATCTCCAGCACCCAGGCTGGGTTTTTAAGCAGTTTGGAGACACAGAAGCATTGGCTTAGCCCTGTTGGCTCCAGGGTATTTTTGCAGGGGTGTTCATCCACCACGCAGACACCTTGTCTCTGCATTTATCTGTTATGGCTCGTTATTCCCATACAAGGAGTGGCACACAGCTGCCACTCTACTGCTCTTGACTCTGACAGATGACAGACCCCAGGACAGGGCTGCAGAGTGAGGAGTGACTGGAGACATTCCTCCAGGGCAGAGAGTACTCCAGGCCTCTAGCAAAGCGGTGCCTGCCCCTTATTCTGGGAGCCGTGGCCGGGAGCAGGGATTATCCCTGTGAAGACAGCGATCACTAGCACTCTAAAGAGCATATTAGAAAGAGAGTAGCAGGGCTGGGGAGGTGGCTCAGCAGTTAAGAGCTCTAGCTGCTCTTCCGTAGGTTCTGGGTTCAATTCCTGACACCTGCATGGTGGCTCACAGCAGTCTGTACAACTCTAGTTCCAGGGGGTCTGACACCCTTTTCTGACCCCTGTGAGCACCATACACACCTGCTACACAGACACACATGCAGGCAAAACATCCATACATATAAATATACAAAAAGTTAGGAAGAAGGACTGGAAGCATCACTTTGAAAACTGTGGAGTTTGGTGAAAATGAGAATTACTACCTCCTGTAAGCAGAAGTTAGGGATGGATGATGATCCTCGCTGAAGGACACACACACACACACACACACACACACACACACACACACACACACACGAATCACGTATATAGTATGTTGTAGCAAATGTAACCTTAACTTTTTATCATCATACACAAATCCATACTAGTCCAAAATATTTTGGAGACTTGTTGTTGCTTCTCTAGTCTAAAAAGAGATACAGTGATAAAGGAATAGCTCAGTAGGACTGAGAAGTTTTATAATTGTTGCTTTATGCCACGTGATCATCTTAAGATGGTGAACTCACAAGGCATGTACTCTTTAACCGTAGTAAAGATGGCTGCCAGTCATGTTGCTGCTTATATCTTGATGATGGAGGAGACCCAGATGGTTGCTGTTTAAGACATGTTTTCCTAAGTAGATCTATTTCTTAAATAAGAGTTGAATCCAAGTTACATACACAATATATTCTAAACCAGAGTTGAGTTTTTGTTACAGGTTTTACAGATTCTTTTAACCACACCCAGAGAATTTACAAATCTCAAGATAAAGACTGTTTACACAATAGTCTTAAGAGATCTCTGGAGAGCAAAGGACGGAGATTCAAGATTCAAGAGTGGAAAGTTGTAGTGCCTTAAAGATAAGAGCCTTTGGGTTCATTTGCTTGTGCGGTGGCAGAAGCTGTTACAATCTGCAAGAATGTGGACCCTGAATGTGCCATCTCTGGCCATCGAGCTATGTTAGGGCCAAGTCATTTTCAGTGAGACAGGGAAGCGAGGCTTTGAGAAAATCTCTGACCCCCTCCCACCCCCATTCTCCCCTACTCACCAACACCTGAGGCGGGTGGGAGAGCTGGCCCTGAGGTCAGAAGGGCAGGACAGCTGCCTCTACCCCCCACAAGCTGCAACACTCTGGAGAGCAGGCTTTGCACCCCTAGGCAACACAGTAAAGCCAACCCTGTTGGCGGAGGTGTGGGTGAGGCAGCCTCAAAGTTGTGAGCATGAGAGAACTGTCCCCATTACTCATCTGTCATGTGGCAGCATGGGCGGGAGAGACATGTGCCTCCTCCCCATCAAAGCCTGAGGCAGGTGGGAGAGTGGCCCTGAGGTCTAGGAGCAGGAGAGCTGGCCCTGCCCCTCATGTGCTGTGGCAGGCACTCGGGAGAGTGGTCCCCATGCCACACCTGGGCAACACAGTAGAGCTGGCCTTGAAGATGTAGATGCAGGAGATCTGACCCTGAGGACATGAAAGCCAGAGAACTGTCCCTGACCCTTGCTCACTGATGCAAAGAGTGAACTCGCTAAGGCAATGCAGAAGACCTCACCCTAGTGGTGAGGACAAGGGAGAGCCCAGAACCAGGGCTATGGATTGGCCCACCCCAAATTCCACCCCGTCTGTGGTCTGCTGGGTCCAAAGCTGCAGGATTTCCACAACACAGGACAACAGCAGGATATCCAAGGAGGGTCCCAGTGAGGGCCCGGCATCGATAGTGTAGCAGAAACCAGAGGCTTTGAACCAGACCAGTGACTCTTTGATATGAACACTTGCAAATAAAGATGTAAGGACTAAAGGGTTTATTGTGTGACTCACTATGACACACTACAGCCCCCCCCCCTTTTTTTCTTTTTTCTCTTAAATTTTATCTAGGGGTAGAGGTGCTGCAAGGGCAGAGGGCAGATACACAGGGACGGGAAACGAATCGAGATGCATGATGTGAAAGACACAAAGAATAAATAAAATAATAAGATAAAAGAATAAATAAAAAGTTAAAAAAGGTACTTTAAACATTAAAAAGAAAAAAAGAGGAAAATTTCTGCATTCAAGAAAGGAATTGAGCGGCCGGGCGGTGGTGGCGCACGCCTTTAATCCCAGCACTCGGGAGGCAGAGGCAGGCGGATCTCTGTGAGTTCGAGGCCAGCCTGGTCTACAGAGCGAGATCCAGGAAAGGCGCAAAGCTACACAGAGAAACCCTGTCTCGAAAAACCAAAAAAAAAAAAAAAAAAAAAAAAAGAAAGGAATTGAGTCCAAGGAGAAAAGGAGGAATGGTCACAAGCTCTGCCATAGAAGAATTAAGCAGCTAAGAGACAGAGTAGCCATAAGGCACAAGGAGGGACAAGCTGGAACTCCACCCATGGGAGCAGATCCTCTGGAGCTGGTGTTACGGGTGGTAATGAGCACCGGCATGAATGCCGGGACCTAGCTTGGCTCCTATGCAAGAGCAGTATTTGCTCTTCTGAGCCATCTGTCCGGCCCCAGCACTTCTCCTTGACTTCATTCTCCCCCTCTCTCCGCTTGCAGCCTCGTTAACTTTGTGTGCCACACCTGCTTCAAGAGGCAGGAGAAACTCCACCGCTGCGGGCAGTGCAAGTTCGCCCATTACTGCGACCGCACGTGCCAGAAGGATGCTTGGCTGAACCACAAGAACGAGTGTTCCGCCATCAAGAGATACGGGAAGGTGCCCAATGAGAACATCAGGTCAGAGCTGGTTCCCATGGCAGGGCGTGGGACTTCCAAATGTCAGGCTGGGACGACGGAGGTGACAGCATTCCCAGCCCTCAGGATGCCAGGCTGAGTGTGTATGTCTCAGGTCCTTTATTCCACTGTCTCCTTTAGGTCTCTGAGGGACACTGGGTGTCTATAGCAGTGATACCAAATTGTAGCTCCTAGAGAGGCCCACAGGCCCCCGCATAGCTCCTCAATATTTAATTAAAAAAAACTGATCTTCCAAACTTAGAAATTTAGACAATTACATGTTCTGAAAAATCAGGGTTTCTGATTTCTGGAGAACAAGAATAAAAATGAAGCTCTGATGAGACGCATTTCAGCTTAACAGCATGAGTCTCTTTTAAGATGTGATTTTCTAATGCACTGAGCTCACCATACAGTGGTCCTTCCTGCAGCCCAGGCACCTGAGGTGATGATGCAGACCTCCACATGGAGCCATTGCTAGGAACCTCAGGACCTAGCATGAGAGTTCCGGCTGAGAGCTCCCGTGTGCTGGTAGCTCTTCTGGAAGGTGTTGGTGCTGGGATATGGGTGGATGTATAGAAGCCAGAATGACCTAGGAGCAAAGGGGGTGAGGGTACTGATAATTAAAAGCATTGCAGGGCATACAGGGTATGACAATCAAGAATGGAGTCATCTCCTGGGAACTTTTAGGAATCTACAGGATGAAATTCCGTCAGCCTTGCCAGCCTCCTTGTTCTATCTACTGGAGTCATATTCTTCAAGACCCTGAATGACTTCATCTCCTGACTTCTTTCCTCTGCACAGCTCCCACGGATCACATCTGTTACTGACTTGACATCTATCCCCCATTGTTCTCTCTTCTTGGGACCATATCCCCGGGATTTAGAAGCTACTGACCTTCCCCAAACCCTGTCCTGAACATTATTCTCCCTTATGCTGCCCTGGGCTCTGCATAGAAACCTTTTGATTCCCAGGTACCCGGAGAACCTAAAGGGCACATTTCTAAGACTAATTCTGACCCAACAGAAAGAAATAGGGCCCGCACTGTGCCAGGCAAGAGGAGAAATCTCTCCCTGCTGGAGCATGTCTGCCTGGACCACCAACCCCCAGTCAGCAGGTGACAGTGTGATGCTAAGGGTCTAACAGTCAACAAAGAAGCCCTTGGGAGTAAGGTACACCCCTCTGTGTTAGACTCAAAGGTCATTAGAGTCCCCTCCTGTCCTATTTTGCCTTGCCTCCCTCAGGATTTAGGCCCAAGACCCAGGATGCTGCATGTCTCTGTGTCTGATATCCCACGTGACTTGGCTCCTGCCAGTCCAGTTACTGCTCAGAAGTATTTCCTGGTTCACACAGCCCTGGTGACCGTAGCTTCCTCTCCCCATCACCCTGTCATATCACTCTTGAACTTTCTGCATAGCACTGAGCATGACTTGGAAATGCTCTTGTTTAGTGAAATCTCACACAGAGCAAGACACATCTTGATAGAAAGAAGTCCATCCCGGACACTGTGCCTGGCACGCAGTAGGCACTGGTGCCTGCTGAATGAGTGAGTGAATGAATGAATGAATGAATGAATGACGAGTGTGTCTCAGTCTCTCGAATGCTGTCCTCCCCTCTCTTCCCAGGTTGGCAGCCCGCATCATGTGGCGGGTGGAGAGAGAGGGCACTGGGCTCACAGAGGGCTGCCTGGTGTCAGTGGATGACTTGCAGAACCACGTGGAGCACTTTGGGGAAGAAGAGCAGAAGGAACTTCGGGTGGATGTGGACACATTCTTGCAGTACTGGCCACCACAGAGCCAGCAGTTCAGCATGCAGTACATCTCACACATCTTTGGCGTGGTATGGCCTTGAGTCCCCTCCAGCTCCCCTGCTCTGTCCTCTGTGTCTGTCTCCCGCCTTCCCTTCTTCCCCTTTGGGAACATAGTTTCTCAGATGGAAGGGACCCCCAGATGCCCTGGACAGTGGCTTCTGTTTCCATGACAATGGCCGCTATCCCAGGCAGCCAGAGACATGAAGTCTGCCCTCTTGCTTCTCAGGTATAGTAGGAATACCTACTGCCTCTTCTGGTTCTGAACCCAGAGGCAGACTCCTAAATATCACATTAAAATAAACCTAGAATCTTCCAGTATGATTTCTTATAATAGAGGGGCCACAGTGACACTGGGTGGTATCCAACTAAGAAGTTTCCAGAAGCAATCCGGCCAGGTTGAGGAGAGAAGGCCAAAAGTCTGGAAGAGAAAGAAACTTAAAATGATGCCATTTTATGCCACCATATTTTTTCTTTCTTCATTTTTCTATCTATCTATCTATCTATCTATCTATCTATCTATCTATCTATCTATCTATCTATCTATCTATCTATCTATCTATCTATGTGTCTTGCCATTTAGCCCAGGTTGACATTCGAATTCCCAAACCTCTTGTATTCACCTCCTGAGTGCTGGGGTACAGGTGTGTGCCCCCTCTCTTAGCTCAGAGTATTTGCTCTTATTTGCTTTGGACACACACACACACACACACACACACACACACACACACACACACACACGCACACCACAGAGCATGGAGAGGTAAACCAAATGATGGATATTGAAAAGGACTCCTGAGACTAGAGATGAATTGAGGAGCCAACCTTCCTACCTGTGGCCTTATTCGGCCAGAACTCCTGGAAGTGTCAAAGTGGTAGTGCTTTGGTAAACGTGGGACTCCCCTCGTGGCACTCATCTCGTGGATCATTTGAAGTCATAGAAAATAGGAAAGGGTTTACAGACTCTGGTTTACATCTTCAGGATGAGAATGGGCTCTCTCTAAAAAATTTGATCAATTTTATTATTTAGCCATTTCATACATACATATAATATATTCTGATTATTCCCGCCCCACCCCTATTATTTCCCTCCTATCTGGGTTACCATCCCTTCCCCCATTCTTACCAGTCCCTTTACCAGATTCACAACTTTTGGCTCGGGTTTTGGGACTCCTTTATTTCAAGCAGAGGGCCCTCTATTTTTCCAACTCTTTCAACATGTAGGGTGATATTCTGTGTTGGATATGTGTCTGTTGACCGACTCTTCTCCTGTCCTCTGGCTAGATCAACTGCAACGGTTTCACTCTCAGTGACCAGCGAGGCCTCCAGGCAGTGGGCGTGGGCATCTTCCCCAACCTGGGCCTGGTGAACCACGACTGCTGGCCCAACTGCACTGTCATATTCAACAATGGCAAGTGAGTGCCCCTTTGTCCCTTTGTGCAGTGGGGATGGATCGGACACAGTTTTCCACTTGACTTCAACCCAAGTCAGACTTCCGGACTTGACCTACCATAGATATCCAATGTTCAGCGACTCAGGGTCTTGGTTCAGACTAACTGTGAGGAGAGGAAGGCCCTGGGGTGAATGTCGAAGGCTTCTACCTGGTCAGTTCTTTGAAGCTGCCTGGATGTGCTGGATCCTATGCTAGCTAAGGTCTCACAATAAATTAGAAAGCACATTCACATAGTTTACTCAAACAGAATTTAAGGAAAGGACAATTTACCGGTGGGTGGGCGGGATTTAGGAAGGATCAGGGACAAGGGGCTCCTTGCTGAGCACACAAAACTGTTCCTAGACTTAGCAGATCGACGGAGAAAGCTCTTGCTGCAGCCGGTGAACGTCTGAGCCATGATACGTTTCCTTTGGCTGAAGTGTGCGGTACAACTGTGCCTGCACAGAAGCTAGTCACTGCTGGGCTTACGGGATAACAGCTCCAACTGTGTTCTCCTCCCCTCGGCTAACCTCACCCAGAAGCCAAAGAGCAAGGAACCTGGGTGATGCAGTCCAGCCCTTTGCCCCCAGGAAGGCACAGATCAAAGACACGTGGGCAAACACTTGGGTCTTGGGAGTGGGGCACAAGAGGAAAGGGATCAATAAACAACCTGTGGCCTGATTGTACATGGCTCAGGCTGGGGAGATCTGGAGGGTGGAGCCTGAACAGCGTGCATTGCCTTTACTCGTTACGAAGGTGTCATAACCATGCAAGTTAACTCTGAGCCATCAGTCAGTAGCTTTCCCCCCAAAACTTCCTCAAAGCCAGGGACAGTGACTTCTGGGTCTCAGCTGAGAATCAGGTTAAAGTGGCCACATAGCCAGGACTGTGGTTTCTTATTTCCTTCCTGTTTCCGACCTCAGCATCTAAAGCTGTTGAGAACGATGACAAAGATCGGGAAAGCTTATTTTGGACTCTGAGAACAGTATTTTCTAGCAGGTTGTGTTTCTCTGTCTAAGCCTCCAGCACAGTTGACCTAGACCTCATGGAGTCTTTCTGAGAGGGTGTGTTGCTCAGGTTTAGCCTGGTTAGCAGAGTGAATCGTACTTGGTCATGCACAACTTTGAACGGCTCTTCTCTAAGTGCCCGTTACCCAGGGCCCCTCTTGTCACTGTGTAATGATCCGGGAGCCTAGGACCCCTACTGCAGGGCATCTCTGGTGTCTGCTGTAGCTTCTTTGCATCTACTAATCGTGAGTGGCCATGTGTTCCCTGGGTTTGTTGGTTTTTGTGCAAGAGAGGAGATCATTACAGTCATTGCCTGTCTGCCTACCACACTGGAAATAACCCTGGACGTGGTATTAGTGGGCTGGTTTTAACCACAACAATATGCCAGCTCTACATATGCAATTCAGAGCTCTCCCCAAGAGAGTCATCCAGAGAGGCCATGCTCATCCTTCATGCTTGTCAGTGGGACAGTAATAACATCCCTATATTTTTTAGCAGTCTGCTCTCAAATGTGTCGTCTCGTGACAGCCACATTACGGGATTCTGAGTGGAACACTGAGGCCATGGGAAAGGAAGTCAGTTGTTCAGTAGTGGATCCCTCTGTCACTGCATTTTGTAATGCCTTCCACCGTACCAGTGTGCTTTCCACCGTACCAGGTGGCACCCTGGCAGGGGAGGGAGGAAGTTGGTTGTGACCATCAATGCTCTGATTGCATCAGCCCAGAATGCTGTGCGCTCGTCTGGCTGTGGCGGAGCAGCGGACGGTATTGATTTCCTGTGGGTGTCTGTTTTGTCTTTCAGTCATGAGGCAGTGAAATCCATGTTTCACACGCAGATGAGGTGGGTCAGTCCTCTCACACACCCTGTTTCTCTGACCCATCTCCCTCACGTGCCTGGCTTCCCGGGACCAGCCCCTCCTGACTCCTTGGCTGCTGTCATGATGTCTGTGCTCAGCACTGCAGTGTCTTGGCTTCACCGAATGGCCATTTTTCTCGCATGTGAACTCACTGCTTCCTCTTCACGCACCTACCACTTGCCTTGTCTTGGTTTTGTTTTGTTTCCTTTCTCCCGCCACCCCCCACCCCGCCTTTCATTCCTGACTTCTTCATTTTTACCTCAAAGTTTGAACCTTTCTAGTTTCTAGTTCGTCATTTCAGCCCCAAACTCCACTGTCTCCCTTGAACTCTGCTGACCATGAAACAAGAATGCTTAATACTAACCCACCAAAGAACTGTGTGATTGTCTGTCGACCCAGCTTTTCATCCAAGCCAATAACACCCAGAGCTGTGATATTTTGGTAAATATGTATTTGCAGTATACTTTTTACTGATCAAAACTATGAACATGTGGCTTAGGTAACATTTTACTTTGAACCATTTTTTTTCTTTAAAAGAAACAAGAGATAGTTTATTCTGGAACCATTTTGAGTGTTCACAGCCCAGGAATATAGATTTAGGTTACCCCAAATTCCATGTTCCAATATGGTAGAAGTTTCATGAAGTTTTTGTTTTTATTTTCTTATATAGTTTCACAGAATAAAGAAAGTCACAGACCAAGGCAAGTTTAAAATACATTAGTGGGTACAGGAGAGAGGCAAGTATGGTAAGATGAGGGAAGCTTTTCTATAGTCCCAAGATGCTATCTGATAACATTCTTAGCTTTGGGGCTCATAGAAGATAAGAGTCTGCTTAGTTTATTTATTAACTTAAATAAATTCTAAAAGGTTTCTGTCTATGAGTCATAGGACTGATGTTAGTTCTGACACAGAGGTGGGCAAGGAATGCTGTTCTGGAGGGCTAGAACTAGCCAAGATAAGGTAATTAACCTCTGGACCTGCCACATTCCAACCGCTCCACAACCCTGGAACTCTACCCAGCCAGCCAGACTGCAGGCTCAGCTTCTTTACAGGAGTCTTCATTCACGGTTCCCTTTCTGGACAAGCACCACATTTTGGACATATGGGAGCACATATTATTTATTAAATATTATAAGGTCCCTCATAGCTGGGAAGGCTCATTCCTAGCATCTGATCTAGATGAGGCTGGGTAGTGGGCAGGAGAGCAGGCGTCAGGAGAGAGGAACACCTGGGAAAGGGTATTAAGAAAGAACATCCTGGATCATGTCAAAACCATTACCCAGCGTGGTCTGGATCTGAATTTTTTTTTACACTCTTTGTGTCTGACGTAACACTTGCATGTAACATAGACTGACACTATCTAAAATTAAATAATCAAGAACACAGTTTGGCCTAATGGGGTGAAGGTAACTCGAAACAAACATTTCTAAAATAACCAAAATTTCATATTTTAATGAGTTTGACTATGTATTTCCCCCTGTATTTACAGTTATTTGTACTCTATGAACTATCTTATTTATATTTAAATGGTTTGAAATCGGACTTTAGAAGGAGTCATTGTAGAATTGTCTCCCTTTTTATTAGTAAAAAGTAAATATTGTTTAATTATTTTTTAATCCTGGCTAATTGTACTATAAGACATTTTAGATACAAATTAAATCAATAAACATCAGTCCTGAAGGTGTAAACTATCATGGATGCTGTTGTTATTAGAGATTGATGCCGTTTGTCTAACTTGGATAAGAATAATCAACCCAAATCTTTGGATAGCTCTAGCTAGAGTAAATGGAGTAAAAGTTTAATTTAAAAACTAGATGTTTTGTTGTGTCCAATTATACTCAACAATGAGAATATGTATATTTATGTATTTACAATATATATGCATTTATAAAAAAACAATGAAAAGCTTGAATCTTTCAAACATTAATTTTGAATAAGGTGGGGCTTAGTGTAAGCAAATAGTCACAGCAAAAAGCATGATCAAATGAAAGAGCACGGTATTTTAACTTCCTTAGACCAAGGTTAGTATTATTTTATCATTTAGAAATATAACAGCTAGAATAATGGATGTCATAAACAATTTTTAACAACTAATTTCAAAAATACGTAACAAACATAAAAAGTGAGAGGAATGCTTACTTAGTACCTTGGAGTACTCGCTGGTCAGTGGCATTGGAGATGACTATCACACAACGTTTTGAAGTCCACACTGATGTGCTCAGATGATGTGGGGACGCTTCTTGTCTCCTGGATACAGTCCTTGATTTTCATCAGAATGAAGTCTTTGATGTGGTGTCTTTTTTTCTTTCTGATAGAATCATCTGGGTTCTTGTCTTTGTTTTTTGGAAGACTCTGTAATTAATTTTGATTTTTAATTATTAGAATTAAATTTAAAAAACTTAATTTATTCTCTCATATATTACAAAAGTTAATTTTTTACAACATTATGCATTATTTATTTATCTACTAGATCAAGTTTGATGGACCTGGATCCACATGTCATTCCTCAGTGACAGGGTTCTGATGGGGAGGACCAGATGACGAGAAGTAAGGATAGAAAAGCTGGGATCAGATGATCTTGCACAAGCTGTGTCTTATACCAAGCAAGTTTATTAAGAAGTACAGAATCTTGCCGGGCAGTGGTGGCGCACGCCTTTAATCCCAGCACTCGGGAGGCAGAGCCAGGCGATCTCTGTGAGTTCGAGGCCAGCCTGGGCTACCAAGTGAGTTCCAGGAAAGGCGCAAAACTACACAGAGAAACCCTGTCTCGAAAAACAAAACAAAACAAAAACAAACAAACAAAAAAAAAAGGAAGTACAGAATCTTATAAATAATTTTCAGGAGAAAAATAGCACAGAGTCGGCAGAAAGCCACCATCCAATGGGACAAAGTCAGCAGGAAGCTGATCAATCAGTATTGTACAAAGGGAACACAGGATATCTCCAGGGCATCACAGACCCAGCACACAGTGGCCTTTGGACTGATAACTCCAGTCTCTTCAGGGAGAAAAGCCAAGTTCCCAGGAATAGAAACATTAACTCCTTTGAGGCTCTGGCCCCAGCCGCACACTGTACCTTGATAAGCCTGCCCTTGGGCAAGGACACAGACTAGATTTCTCCTGTCCTTTCATCAGGGCCTCTGAGAAAGTCTTGGACTGCCTGGCTCTCAACATTTTATAAACAGATTTAAACATTTGTCCACCAAGACAAGTTTCATAATCACTATTTGAGTTTGAAATATTCTAAATAGGCAGAACTCCTGAAACAGATTATATATATATATATATATATATATATATATATATATATATATATATATATATATATACACACACACACACACACACACACACACACACACACACACACGTGTGTGTGTGTGTGTGTGTGTGTGTATGTATATATATATATATACTTAAAGCAATGACTGGCTATTCAAAAGCAAAGGCTTCTGACAAGTGGGAAAACATATTAAATCACAGGTTTTACATGTCCATGTAGTAAAAGGATACTAAGAACAAATCAGTCCTTGAAAGAACATCATAGAAAATCAAGCATTAATTTTACCTCAGAGTATTGAATTAATCTTAAAACTTTTTTAAGCTTTTACATTGATTTTGACTAAGTCACAACTATATTTTTTAAAACAACCTTCTAAAACATATTTTAATCTTAATATTATTATTATTACAAGATTTAGGAAACAATTCTAGTGAGATAATTTTAAATGAAAGCTCAGGAGGCTATATCTAAATCTATATCTAAATCACAGAAAACATACAATATCTTAGATCTCTAAAAGTTATAAAAACAGGTAAAGTAAATTGACTATTTTCTCAACCAAGTTTAAATGAATTACTTGTTAAAGATTCTAGTTATTATAACACATAGCTTGAATTTTTTTGTTAGAAAAGCATTTATTTTTTATTAGTGTTTATGAGGTATCAAAAGTATGATAAGGCATCCAGAGCAGGATAATATAACTTTGGCATCTGTAACTTTATTATTATTTTTTAAACTAAAAAAACAGAGATGAATAATTTTTAAAAATATGTTGTTATGTTGTACTACACTAAGGTGACCTGTAATCACTAGGAGGTCTGGGTAAACACTAAGTTGACCTATAATCTCTAGGAGGTCTGGGTAAACCTTAAGGTAGTTTTTTAAATTAAAATAGTTTTTTAAGGGTTCTTTTCCTTATAGAGATCTGGCTAAAATAAGGATCTTGAAAAACCTGTTTGTTTATGCAATTGTTTTGAAAGAGGCAGTGATGGCAAAATAAAATTCTTAAAATGTTTGTGTTCATATATATATATGTAAATATTCATATATATACCATATCTAAAAGAATAAACCTATGTTATCCTCTTAATCTTTAGAATAAAGAATTTAGTATTTCAAGGGAAGGTAGTTGTCTACTTGGAAAAAAATGTGTTCTGCAGTAGGAACAATCACCTCTCTAAGTTAATCTATATATTCAAGCAGTACAGACCATGTATAGAACTAGAATTGGGATAAGGATCGAGGAAATCATATCTTGGCCAGATTATGCATGGTTTGATTTGTTTGATTATGTAGTCTTGTCTTTAAGAAGCAGATCTAAATCATTTATTTATTATTTTTATATGTATGGATGTTTTGCCTGCATGTATGTCTAGGCACCATGTGCATGCAGTGCCCACAGAGTCCAGAAGAGGGCACCAGATTCTGGGACTGACCAGTCATGTGGGTGATGAGAGTTGAACCCAGGTCCTCTAGAAAAGCAGCCACTGCTCTTAACTGCTGATTCATCTGTCCTGCCCAGATTTAAATTTTTTTTAAATTTAAAAACTCATGTTAATTGTCCCAAAGAAAGTTTTAGGGCCATTTACCATCTCCGTTTGTTTTACCTATGTGGTCCCATTTGATTAAGTACACTTTCTGTCTTTTATCATTATTCTGTTTCTTAAAATTGTAGTTCGACTATGAGCCAAAATGAAGTTCAG